TGGAAAAAATACCATATAATAAATCTAAAATGGCCTAAAAACGGCTGGGGAATGGCAATTGATGATAATTTTGGCAAGATCAAGCCCTAGATGTCTATACTTAGCCCGTATAACTCTTCTGTATTTTTTTCAATGGCGCTTACTGCCCGTTGGTCTTAGAAGAAGGTTGTAATTTATTTTTATATTAAGTGAAAACGATTTTTTAACGGTGTAGTTTAAAATTTGAGAAAATTACTTTTTGGAAATGGATTTCTGTGTCTGGAAACGTTCTATCTTTTTTAATCTTTCTATAAATAAAGTAAATGATGTCTCTAGAGATTGACCTCAGCAAAACCATCATCGATTGTCATTTTCCAACCGTCTTTGAAGCCGTTTTTTTTTCGATCACACGGTATCACTTTAAACGCTTTATATGTATGAGTGTTACAGTTGGGGTGGAACCTTTGGCGTTACAACAGCAAAATAAAACACTTGAATCGCAACAATACACCAAAACACTTTTAAAATGGACGCGCGTTTCGCTAACCATAGTTAGCGATGGTTAGCGAAGCTTCATCAGCAGATTTTGCAATTTGAAACTTGTTTAATTAATTTTAAATTATTAATATCTATACAATGTTCTTTATCAACAATATGTTCAGCAACGCAAGATTTATCCGGTCTACTATATCTTATCTGAAGTATACGTTCTTTAAATCTAGTTAATATGGATCTTCTAGTTTGCCCAACATATTTCTGATTTCTTTATATGAAATTTCATAAATACCCGACCTTTTCCAGTGGAGGTGTTTTATCTTTAGGATTACCTAATAATTGTGGTAATTTATTATTAGCACTGTACACAAGTTTATAATTGACATTCTTAAAAAATATTTGTAAACCACGGGATAACTCTCTGTCAAATGGTATTGAAAATATTTTGACGTATCTTTCTCCACTTGAAAAGTCGAATTTTCAGAAATCATTAACCTATACCTAAGTTTTCTAATTATTTTATCAACTAATTAAGAAGCATATCCATTACACTCAGCTACATTCCTAATGTAATTTCTTTCTATTTCATATCCTTCGTTGGTAAGTGGAAAACTAAGTAATCTATGAACTAAGAAATTTAAACTAGCCGTATGTTATGTTCAACACTATGTTGTGACTATGCTATGACTCATTAGGAGTATATCTAACTAAAACCGGCTCTAGTACTATAGACTATGTCCTGTCGTCTTTTGATCCAGAATTCGTTGACTGTAGAGTTCTTCACTCAGGTTTCTCTGATCATGAGGGAGTATTGACAAAGTTTTTGCCAAAATCCAAATGCAAAAATACCTCGCGCAAATTGGGCCGTATTTTTTCGCATGAAAATTTTCTAAATTTTCACCACTTATGCCTAACAATAGAGTGGGTTGTCCTCTCGGCTGACGTCGATTCCGAATTTTCTAGATTTATGGATACCTTGTCTAATCTGGCGTACAAGGCGTTTCCTCTTAGGCCTATCAAAAGTCAAATATCAAAACAAGGTATACCCTGGTCTACTACAGGCTTGTGTATATCTGCAAAGAACATGCGCTCATTATCTCACCTTAAGAAATTCACGGACAGCGTCTTCTTTCATAATTATGTGAAACTTTATAGAAAGGTTTATCGTAAGACTATAAAAGCTGCCAAGGACATTTATTATAATGCGAGGCTAGCCAAAGCCGGTAATGTCGCTAAGGGACTTGGGCTATTGTAAATGACTTAAGGAATAAGACTTCTTCGTCTGGCACAGTCTTTAATTCACCTAAAGATTTAAACACTTACTTTGTTAATGTGGCTAAAAATTTAGTGAACACCATAACTCCTTCCCATGATTCACTTTCATATCTCCCTAAAGCAAATGAGAATTTACACAGTTTCTTCCTCACGCCCGTAGTATTAGATGAGCTCCGTAGTACAATTAATAGTATTAAAAACAAATCCTCATCTGGGACTGATGGGCTTACTCTCAAAATGTTCTCTGAACTTCCTGAATGCACATTAAACCATCTTACTACTTTAATTAACGAGTCATTCCAAAAAGGAGTTTTTCCAAACTGTCTTAAGACAGCAATAATTATTCCTCTGTATAAAGGAGGTGATAAAGATGAAGCTTCGAACTATCGCCCAATTGCACTCCTGCCCACATTATCTAAGATCATTGAAAGATTGGTTAAAAAAAGGTTTCTATCTTTTCTCCTTAAATATAAAATACTTACTACCCATCAATTTGGATTTCTAAGTAACAGTTGCACAAATGATGCTATGTTCGACCTTTTTAATAATGTATACTCTAGCCTGAATAACCATCACTCTACAGCTACAATTTTCTGTGATTTCTCTAAGGCTTTCGATTGTGTAATCATAATATCTTAATTAACAAATTGCAATACTATGGTTTCAGGGGAGTGCCGCTCGAATGGCTTAAGTCATATCTTGGCAACAGAAGGCAGCTTGTGAGGATTGATACGTCTATGTCTTCTTGTAAGCCTATAGAATGTGGTGTCCCTCACGGTTCAGTACTTGGCCCTATTTTGTTTCTGGTGTTTATCAACGACATTGCAAATCTAGACATTAGCGGTAAAATCTGCCTCTTTGCGGACGATATTAGTTTCACTTGGAGCGGCCCAGATGTTGCGGCGCTATATGATACTATATCCAGTGACTTACGCACCATTAAGTCTTGGTGCGATTCTAATCTCCTATGCCTCAACCTATCAAAAACTAAAGTTTTGTCATATAAAAGTACTATACAACCTTTTGTACTTAATAACACCACTATTGACGTCGTGGACTCTGTGAGATTCTTAGGACTTGTTGTAGAAAACTCGTTAAAATGGGACTTTCACATCGAAGCTCTATCAAAGAAACTAAGCGCTGACTGTTTTGCGCTAAGATCAGTTTCTAAGGAACTTAACTTCTCAACCTCTAGAATAGCCTATTATGCCCTTTTTGAGTCACATCTTCGTTATGCCCTTCCATTCTGGGGTACTTGCTGCGCAACAAAATTTGATCGCGTTTTCAGACTTCAAAAGAGAGCAGTTCGATATTTATTGGGACTGAACAGTAGAACTCACTGCCAGAATTTCTTTAAAAATTTGAAAATACTGACTCTTCCTGCTGTATTCATTTTTGAATCCGTTTGCTTAATCCGCAAGCACTTATCTGCTATTCCCGAAAGGCCATCTCATAACAATCCACTTAGGAATGCAGAGCATGATCTTTATCCGCCAACCCCGAGCTCAGAACTAGTTAAAGGTTCAATACTGTACAACGCCAAAAAAATGTACAATCATCTGCCTTTGAATATCAAGTCGCTTTCATTCTTTCCCGCATTTCGCAAAGCTCTAAAATCATACTTACTGGAGAGAGCCCTATATGCGGTAAACGACTTTTTTGTTGATGTTTAATTATGAACAATTTTGAATTTTAAAATTTTGATCATCTCACACACTGGTCAAAGGTCAAGTATTTAATATTTTATAACTCTAAAATTATATCTATTTACTGCGTGCTGTTCTAAAATTGTCCATGTATATTCTTATTGTAATTTTAAAGACTTAAATTTTTTTGAATTGTATTATTTGTATTGTGTATTTTTTGTTGTTAGTATTTTTTTTTGTGATTTTGTTGTTTGTGAGTGCTTTGTCGATGAAGCTGTTTTGGCTTTTTGTACAATAAAGCGTTGTTTGTTTGTTTGTTTGTTATCTGCATGTAGTGGTATTTTTTCTATAGATATCAAATTCCAGGTAATTAGTAGTATTTATAATAACTAATACATCTACAAATGGTAATCTACCGTTGTTCTCAATTTCATAGGTAAATTTAATGGAAAGGAAAGGATTATTAATTTAGAAATAAAATTATCTATAGTGTCAGAATGTGTGTCAACAACAGCAAAAATATCGTCCACATACCTAAACCATATTCTTGGAAAATACTCAAACTGATTTTTAGCCTCAACTTCAAACCTGCTCATGCATAAATTTGCCAAAAATGGAGACAATGGATTACCCATTGCCGTACCTTGCCGTTGTTAAAAAGAATATTATTCAATTGAAAACAATTTTGTATCACACATAGCGATGTAAGCTCAATATATTCAATCACAGTTTTGTTGTCGAGACCATTTGCGTTCAGTAATTCCTTCAAGTAGCCCAAAGTAGCCCATTGGAACGTTTGGGAACAACAACGATACATCAAAGGAGTCCACAATTTCACCATCATGTAATGTTACATTTTTAATTTTGTTAATCAACTCTATATTGTTTTTAACTGAGAAAGAGTACATGATTAGGTAAATTTTCGAACTCCCTTGATAACCATTTTGCCAAATTATAAGTCGGAGAACCTACAGTCGAAACAATTGGGTGTATAGATTTATCCGGCTTATGAATTTTAGGCAGTGCATACAATTTTGGTTTTTGCAGTTTTCTTTTTAAATGAAGATCAATAAGGTCGTTACATTGTTTTAGAGCTTTTTTTAACATCTGCTACCATCTTTGACAAATGATTCTTTTTTAACTTAGTGTACGGACCATTATCGATTAAGTTGTCAAACATATCGTAATAGTCTTTTTTATCTAATATAACAACCATATTTCCCTTATCTGCTTTTAGGTAGAAACAATCTTTGTTTCGCAAACTCTTAACAATCTTGTGCACCTTGTTAGATTTTAATGATTTACTTGAATGCGATTAATTTATTGTATAATTAATTGCTTTGTATAAGTGGCTAAAACTCCCATTATGGTATGATTGTGAATAAAATATTTTTATCCATGCCATTTAAATGTAATGTTTAACTTTTACCTACAGTTTTTCTTTATAGAATTTTCTGTCTTATTGAGCAACATCAATAGCACGAATGCCTTTATAACCAATCAAGATCGTGGCGATTCGCAGATTGATTTTAATAATTTGATTAAAGGCTGGACGTAAAGACATAATCAAAGAGACACAAAAAGATAATAAGAATATGTGCTTACCAACACGCGAACGTGTAAATAATCTTGATGCTTCGGTGACAAAACGGTCAACAAATGACTGGCAACGCTCCCAATGGTGAATTACTATACTTGGGATGTTGCAACAGTAGCAAAAGGCGGTCAAAGGTGAATGCAAAAACAGCGTGAAAAGAGATCCATTGTGCTGTTGATCTAAAATTATTAAGAGGTTCAAAAAATAATATGAATTTGCAAACTGAATGGAGTTATTGGGAAAACTGGAAATCGTCAGATTTTCACCAAAATTGGTATGCACCTTATGTTGAGGTCGTAGATTACGAATCTGAACTTTTTTCTTGGCGGTCTCTTACCGTTTTTCAGAAAAACGGAAAATTATTTCAACATCGAATTTTTCTTAATTTCTCATATTTTTAAGGTTTTCTAGCACATATTTTGTAAAGTATTCAATAAACAATGATGTTATTGCTATTTTCTGTTACTTTTTTAACCAATTCTATGCATAATAGAGGAAAATTTCCTAAAATAAATTTGTAAACAATCTTATAATGTTGGGTTATGTGTTTCTGTTTCTGGCATTTAAAGCAACGTTGCCAATGCTAAACCTAAATTTAGCGTGTTTTTTTCGCCCATTCTGGGATTACGAAAGGCGGTCGCCAGAAGAACGGCTCCTTCCCCCATAATTGCTATTTTACCAACGAGATCTGACTATTTATAACCACGAAGTTGCACGAAAGAGTTTTGATTGCATTAGTTACAACTTCCATGCGGAGGGTGTTAATCTTTTGTTGTTATATCAAAAAAAGATTAACCCCCTCCGCAAAGAAGTTAACACCAATGCAATCAAAACTCTTTCGTGCAACTTCGTGGTTATAAATAGTCTATATAATTTCTAAAAAAGATTATCCCCCTCCGCATAGAAGTTGAAACCAATGCAATGAAAAGACTTCCGCGTAACTTTGTGGATATAGGTAATGTTCAATTTGCGAAGTTTGAAACTTTCGTCATTATTTTCGGCGCCATATGGGTTTTCACGTATTTCTTGACTTTGTCCATGAGTTGTTTATATCTCTGGTTGTAAACTAACAATAACAAATTTAATAACAAAATATTAAACAATGACAAATTTATTGTAGCCTACCCGCAGTGTATACGATGAATAAATACGTTCTCTATTAATATGTTCATGGATCTTATAAGCAGGAATTCCAGGGGACAAATGAATATTGTGACTTGTTTTGCTGCTTTTTGTTCTTTCTTTCACGATTCCTCTGGAGCTTATTCTTTGCACAGTCGAGCATGAAATTCCTAAAGCCTCCGATGCTCTCTATAAAACACGTATTTTCGATTTAGTTACAAAATATTAACTCGGTAGTTGTCCAATTACATCGTAAACAGCCGACACATGTAAAAGGGTCTTTTCCAGCATCTTTTTCGAGTTTCAAATACACGATAACTTTTAATATGAGCCGTTGTTCTTTTTCACTAAAACGGGACGGCATTTTAAACACAAATTAAATCACAAATAACTAAATAAACACAGAAAATCCCACAAAAATTTAGGGGAAACTATCGGAGTCGTTAAAATTTAACGACAACATTGACAGTCGGCGATATTCTTTTGTTCGATTTCGGCGGGTAATACAATAAATATGATGTTTGCCTTTTTCTATTCATGCACATTAGACAAGGAAGTACGATTCTTTATAAGTAATGAAGGTGATCCGTATGCAAAACGAAAAAAAATAATCGTACGATGTAAGAAATATAATGGACCAAATAATGGACTTACGTTTTTGACACAAAATTTCCATTTCATGTGATAAACATGGATAAGAGAGAGAATGACAATATGTGACGAAAGACTCAAACTTCGCAAATTGAACAGTAGGTACCGTATGATCGAATAAAAACGGCGTCAGCGATGGCTATGAAATAAAGATCGCTGTCATTTTAAATGTAAAATTATATGGGAACTGTCATCGATCGTCATTTCCAAGCCAACTGGACGCCGTTTTTTTTTCGATCATACGGTATATTTAACTATTGTCGATCTCATAATAGGTAATTTATTTAAAATCCCTAATCGCCCGAAAAAATAGAAGATATGGCAACGTTGGAAATTTTCAAACTTCTAGATTCAGTCTAGAACAGTGTTACCAACTCCGGGATTTTATCCCTAAATTTGGGGAGAAAAAATCTATATGGGGATTTTTTTAGGGAGTAAAATTTTTTGGGGATATTTTTAGGGATAAAATTTCATTGGAATTTTACTGCTACAAAAGAGGAGATAAGACTGCTATTTTTCAAAATTAATAGGAAAGTATAAATAAAACAAAATCATTTATTTATTTTAATCACCGAATCTTGGATAGCAGTTGTGGGGATTTTAGTTGTTTGGATTTAAGGTTTGATAGCTTTAAGCAAATACGATTTGGCTATGATATCACAACCTAAAAACGGCGTATCGGCGTAATGGCGTAATAACCTTGAATGGATTTCCAGTAATTCTATTGGCTGAAATATTCATCTGTCAGAAATTTTATCTGTCAAATTCATCTGTCAAAAATTTCAGCCAATAGAATTACTGGAAATCGATTCAAGGTCGTTACGCCGTCAAAATAGTGTGTATACCAATTTTGGTGAAAATCGGACGTTTTCCAGTTTTCCCAATAATTACCTTATTTTTATCTGCAGAATATGCTTGAAAGTTGTAAAAATTTAATTGAAAGTGACTCCATTCTCTTGAACGGAGTCACTTTCAGTCCATTTGTGTATCTTTACCTTGAAAAGCAGGAGGTGTGTCTTGCGGTGACATTAATGTAACTAACGGTTGTCCGAAATATCTAGGAATGTGTTGAAAAACAAAACTATTGTCAGAATCCACTATCACGAATAAAGGACGTCTCGTGAACGGGTATAGGTCACCAGGGTAAAGGCAGTGTACTTCTTTTGTCTTCTTGTGTTCTCCGTCTCTTCTACCGGTCGTCGAAACACCGCCCAGGTCGTATCCCACTGAAAATATAATGTTACCGTTAATGGTTGTTGATTTCATTTTAATATAGCGGAGATACAATTGACTACAAACCACTGTATGTACAGGGTCCGGTAATAGTGCCTTGAGCATCTGTAGCTCCTAGAATAAAAAAACTTGGGAATTTTGTTTAAGTGCAAACCTAAAGTACAAATTACCTAGGTATAACAGATGCGAAAGAACACCGAATTACGCGTTCAGGTTTCTGTGACCTTCAGAAAGAGTTCATAGACAATCCGCATCAACGTATAGTTTGGGTTATTATTTGTTTGGGTGAAAATATATATATAATCTGCACCAATATGTTATCGAGGCCACAGACTTCGAGACATACGAAAAATCAAGTCCATTTAGCGTGTGTCGCAATTTTCACACCTTAAAAAATTAGTTTTTTATAGCTATAGCAACTGCAGCGACTATGAAAAAAGCTGTGTGATTTTCATAGAAAATAAGGGCACCTGTAATTCATTTGAGAATGTTATAAATCGCTAAAAGAGGTTTCAAATCTCTTGGATGTCTATTAATATTAAATAAATTTTTTTGACACAGTTTGACATTTCAAACAACCAATGGGAGGTGTACTAAATTTAAAATTGACAGCTGTTTGAATTTTGTACAAATCTGATTGGCTCTTTTGTCGTATCGCTGGCGACAGTCGCAGTTCTGAGAACGGGGCTTAAATCTTTGTAAAAATGTCTTTTTAAATTTTCAAACTTGAACAGTTATTTTGGACTCATTTAAAAAAACGGCAAAGAGAAAATATATTTCTTTTGTCGAGATACCAGCCCTGAACATATTTGCACTTATCCAAGACTCACCCTGTAGAGTAATATCGCGCTTTTGATAACTGTCTACAGCTGATTGAGCCACGATTTTTTCATCTGCCCTTTTGCATACGGCTTTTTAAGTCAATAAATATGACATTACACCAATCGGCATGCGTGTATGCGATTTTTTTTTGTTAAAATTTCATGCCTCTTTCGCGTTGCCTGCCGGCATTTTAGCCACGAGAAAAATGTCCGCCAACAATTTTCCACGTTTCTTAATAATAAATAAAAGCTCTTTGGCAATTATAACTCGTGTACCATATAATATTTTTAGTGCCAAAATTTCACCCTTTCGATTGGCCGCCCCCGCTTTAAGCCCCGGGATCGCGCTGGCAGACATGACTATTTCATAATGGCTACACATAAGGAGACTTAACAAGAAAAATTAGCCATGTAACGATGATAAGGTTTTTTATGTAGCCAGCTCTCGGTCTATTAGGTCTGCACGTAAACGAAATGCCGTTTTTTAGCCGTTTAAAAAGTTTTTTATTATTTGAGTTATAACCCGACACACTTTTGCGGGATCCTGTATATCAAGGCGTCTCAATATTTACTTATTTCTATGAGGTTAGGTTAGGTTAGGTTAGGGTAGAGACGAGCAACAAATCGCAAATTTCGATTCAATCCCAGCGATTTGAAAATCGCGATCGCAACCTGCGATTGGCTCTCATAGGAAACTGCGACTGCGATTTCTTCTATTTGCGAGTTTCAATTTAGGCAACCAATATTACTATAGTTGCGAGTTGCGATTTTGTTGCGATTGTGATTTTGTAAACTAGGACCGTGATAACCTTAAATTCTATCTCCGAGTTTGAATATTTAGGAGTTGCGATTTTGTTCTGCATGTAATTTTGTGGTTCATTGAAGCATTTTATATAAGTCTGTTCAACGACAAGATCCTTACCAATGATAGATGTGTCTGTCATTTTAATTTGAAAGTAGTTTATTTTATTTTACAAAGAAATAAGTTGGTACAACTAGAACGCATAGCAGGAAATTAATATATTTAAAATTTGACTGACAAGTGATTACTTCGAGTTATTTTATTTAACAAAAAACGGTGTGTGTTAATACAAAACAAATAAGAACAAGACACCACATACCAAAAAAATATAACAAAGAACTATTTTTTACTTTCAAGCTTCATAAAACTTCCCGCATTTATGATTATATAATCAATATAACTTATGTACAAATACAAATTTGTAATATGTTTGTAATATTCGACAGGAATAAATAAAACAAACTACCGTATGATCGAAAAAAAATGGCGTCCAGTTGGCTGGGAAATGAAGATCGCTGTCATTTTAAATGTAAATTTATATGGGAAATGTCATCGATCGTCATTTCCCAGCCAACTGGACGCCGTTTTTTCTCGATCATACGGTATTTCATTAATAATAACACTTACCAAATTTTATACCTTAAAGGTTGATTAATTAACTTTAATCGTAATTTTTTTAAACTAGTGCCTTTTGATATTATTTTTCTGCAGTACTAAAATCTATTATTTACCTATCGTGTGATGTCGATATTTTACAGCTACTCCAGTTTTTAGTATGTGTATAGTATGGCCCTTCTACCATATACGAGATGCACTTATCTACGACGAGATGGTATACGAACTTTATTGATGGTAACTTATTGGTGTATAAGACTTTCGGTATACCAGACTTTCTGCCTGGGCAGCGAGTATTAACCATAAACTGTGCTCTGGGTCTACAGTCAATTTTCACTCGATTTTTCCTCCACTTGACTTCAAAAGACACAAAACATACGTAATAACACGAATCAAAATGCATTATCTTCCCAAACGCAGGGTATTTGACAAAAGTTGACACTAAATTATAACCTATAATTTAGCAAGACTTTAACAAGCGTCAAAAATCTATAAAGGCGAGTTGTCGTTGTCTTTCATCGTTCCGCCAAACAAGCGCCAAACCAATAAAATTGAAATACGATCTGTCATTTTTGAAATAAACCAATAAAACACAAAACATCCCCCTTTAGAACTTTTTCTTTAATGGCCATAAGCACAGGCCATAAGCGGGAGTAAAAGACCAACCGCCCGAACAAACACTAGAGGCGCCACTGGTCATCAAATGGTGTAAAAATTGCGAAAATTTAAGCATCTAATTTTGACACAAGGGGTCGCACTTAGCTTTTTTTAATTTTAATTCAATATTCATTGTTTCCAAACTATATTATATTAGACTTTGTTGTATTTTGTGAATGTATAAATATTTTCTTAGTACAATGTTGCATTATATTAATTTAAATTATATTATATACATATTTAAAATTCAAATATTATGACATATATGTCAGTTGCCGTCTAAAATGTCATCTTGATAACAAAAAGTTAGTTATTGTCAGAAATAGTTAAAATCATGTTAAAATATTAAAATTTACAAGTTATAATTAGATATTTTATATTATTTCAAAAACAAAAACTTAATAGTACAGCGTAATGTTGATATGCAGGTCCAAAACAAAAAGTGCCGTTATATTTTTCAGTTTTCGTTGTCAGCCGCGGAAGTTTCAGTGATTTTAGTGTTGTCGGATATTTTTATTTGCGAAATAGAAATATTGCGTTTGGATTGCAAAACTATAAATGGAAGCTTTATTGCAATGTAAGTAAGCGTTTGTCCATTTTATATTTTACTTTTTTCATACCTACTACAAATATACATATATTGAAATTTTATAATTCGTTTTATTTAAAAAATGTTAGAAAACAAGCTTGTAATCCGGTAATTGACATAATTGTTATGTACTATGTTCCATTTAAATGTAATATATTACTTTACAATTAAAAAAATATATTAAAAATATATACAGGCATTAATTGAAATTTTTAGTTTGCGAACAAACACGAGAGGCGCTTTAATATAGAATATTTACTTTCATTTCTTAACATGATAGACGAAGTTCTAAAGGGGGATGTTTTGTGCTATAAAACTGTACATGTCAAAAAACTCCCAGACACCAATTTTCATCCAAATATTGACATTAGTTCAGAAATTATTTGGAAAAAATCGAAATAAAAATGAAACTTCTACACCCAGTAGCTCCGAAACTAAACATTTTCGGACATACATTTATACGAACTTTTTTATCTATTTTTATCTACAGAATATGCTGCCGAAGTTTCTGGAATACAGTTCGGAACACCCTGTATACTGTTTGTGTGTTGCAGCCACGGGGGTGTCACTTGTATGGGAAAACAGGCAACAGTCAAATTTAAACGTGCCAGGACCAACGATAAAGAAAGCAACATCTGCCAGGCATTGGCTTTCTTTGTCACTCACATTGCTTAAATCATGATACCGCGGCCATTTTGTCAACAAAGAAGCTGGCCGGGCTGTCCTGGCAAGTGATTTAAAACAATTTTGCTTTTTTGCAATATTAAATTACCATTTGGATGTATTTAATGCGATTATTCAGTTAACTGGTAAGTCAGAAATTACACACAAATACTTTATTCGTAAATACAACTAAGATGTAAACGTATTTTTGTATTTTTAGATTTCAACTCTTGCAAAGACCCGCCGATAAAACTTGCCTGGCAGCGTACCTGTTTAACTAAACGTATTATTTCCTGATAATAATATCAAAACACGCAAGTACCTCTATAATTTATGATGAAAAATGATTTTGATTATGTTTTATATTATTTAAATACTTTCTAACCTCAAATAATAGTAAGATCCTTGTTTATATCGCACAGCCCGTTCAAAACTGTATTGTCTTCAAAAAATGTTTACAAAACACACAATTATTAAAAAAACAATGTCCTTTTAATCTGATTTATACCTCAAGGATGCCAGTAAAATTTTATTACATCAACATTATATTATTTGGCCGTTAATATGCAAAAAGGAGCATATTGCCTTAACTTAATTTTTTTTTACTTCTCCTGACAATGTTCTCTATATTCTCTATTTTGAGTTAGTAAACTTTTGAACGGGATGTGCGATATATAAAATACATAATATATCCAAGGGTATGATCGGATAAAAGTATTTTTTGATGCATTTTTTGGTTGTTTATGCACGTTGGCTTGGTTTATGTTTTATTCAGCTTATATTTATTTGGTATAACAGTTTTTTTTGCCTTTGGAATTGCACATGCATTGAGGCTAGAGTGTTTCATTAGATCATTAAAGGAATTTAAATTAGCATATATTTTTTGTCATATTAGTGTGTTATCATGATACAGGTAGTTGTATCATAGTGCCTTATGCATGTTATTTACCTATTATATACTTATGTAATGTATTATCAGTAAATAGATGATAACATACTACTAAATGTCTTTTTAATAGTATGTTTATCTTTCCAATTCACTAGTTATTTGCAAAATGTATTTTGAACTAATTTAAGTCATTAATTGATCGTCTTTCTTTTCAGGTTCCGGATATTCTTTTTTCATTGTTAAAAAAAATATATATATTTCAATATTATTGTAATATAAATCGCAGCTCTAAAAAAATAAATGATATTGTTTACTAATGTGTAATTTATTTACTATGAATTTTCTCTGAGAAAATAATAAGTCTTTAATAATATCATTGATTTGCTGTGTAAAGTTAATAGACATATTTTTTAATACATTAAATTGTATTAAAGTAATAAAAAATATGTTTATTAACTTTAAACAGTAAGTCAGTGATACTCTTATTTTTTTAAAAATTTCCCCTCTTTTGAGCCCCGCCCCTCCAATTCCCCTCAATTTAGCTAGTACTGCCAGGCGACACCAGGTGGCGTCTGTTTCCATTTTTAACATGAAGTTAGCATTTCTTTAATGTACCTATTCTTTGGTTGTAGCTGTTAAAAAAAACTTAAAAACTAAATAACTGATTTTTAACTTTCTTTAACTGTTAATATATAGGTATATAAACAGACAATTACATACCTAGTACAATATTTAAATATTAAAATCGCAATCGCAGGTTACAGTCGCAGCGATTTAAAAATCGCAATCGCAGTTTTGCTCATCTCTACTATGAGGAGTTCCATATTCAGCTTTTATCACTTACTGTCTTCCGGATGCTTCGACGTTGAAAAACACCCATCTGCAGACAAATACAACAGTAAAGCTCCATTCACTGGTAGTTCTTTAAAGCCGCTGGCCAAGAAAACAAGAACTTGACTGAGTGTGGGTTTGTACAGAAGATATTTATGGGGATTCTCTCTTCGTGCCGGTCTATCACCATTTTCCAAATATCTTAAACAAAAATATCCGTGCGTATTAGCCAAATCAATTATGGTAAAAATCACCGGCGTAGATAGGTTTTTATTTAGGGTGTGGCAAAAAAGGGTTGCTTTGGGTTTAATCTATACCGGGTGCGTCTCAAAAGTGGTTCACCCCTATAACTTTTTTATTTTTTCAGATAAAAAACGAGATTTGGTATGTTAGTATATGGCTTAAATTAGGATTGATTGACGTATTCAGTTGTTTTTGGTCACTTCCTGTTTTACCGGAAATGACTATAATTTTTGATTTTTAAATGGCACTCTGAATGCTCGGTATTTTTTTTTTACTTTATTCGATAGAAAATGACATTCTGAATAGAGGTTCCTGGAGTATAAAATATATTTTATACCAGGTAATTCGTGCAAACAAAAAACCTTGTGTTCTTGAAAGGCTCGCTCGATTTCGGTATTCGCGGCCGAAATTAGCCAAGTTTGGGGTTCGTTGAAGGACTATTAGAGCTACAATTTAAAAATATTTTTACAAGATACAGAGTGTCCCAAATAGATAAAAAATATCAAAGTTGTATTTTTTTAAATGGAACACCCTGTATATTATTACATTTTTAGTTTCTACGATTAAAATAAAGGTAAATTTGATTAAGGTTTATTATACTTAAACCTTACCGTTTTTGAAATATTTTCAATTTTGTGAAATTGCAGTAAAAATTTTAAAGCTTCATTTCTCTAAGGGTATCAATGTTTTTAATACTAAATATTTAATTAAGTTTATTTATTGATCAGTTATTGTGTTGCAATAATAAAAATAATACTACCTTATACAGAGTGTCTAAAAAATTTATTTTTAAATAATTATTAGCTTCAAACGGCAGTAACTTCTTTAATTTAAATGGAATGCCCTGTATATTTTAGGAGAATCAGATGCACAATTAAATTGTCTATCAAATTGTATTATACCATTTTTTACCTATCCCTTCAAGTTTTCGTAGAATATGCATTTTCTTATAATTTAGACCTCATTTATCAATATATCCATGGAATATTGACATTTTAGATTGTTTTTAAAGCAACAAATGTACAAAATGTACAGACTAGTAATATTATCGTTTTTAGCAAAACGTTAATATTACTAGCCCATTTGTATGCAAAAGGAAAACTATTTAAATCTTTATAAAAGAGTATACCATTAATTAAATAAAACACCATTATTTCCGCCCATATACTGATTAATTACATACTTAATTGTGTTCGTTAATAAATTATTATAAATAAATGTGAATTCGAGTCAGAAATCAATATAATAATAAGTTATCAAAATTAAAGTCTCTGTTGTTATAAATAAGCATTTATTAAAAAATGAAATATCATTTTTAAGGTGTTACTTTTTATCACACTGTCTAATGCCCATACAAAATTCAGTTTTTTAGTATTTGGACCAATTATTATTAATCAACGCAAACAGTCAGTTAATGTAGTTTGAATACTGGAATCATATTAATTGGTCCTCTTTAACAAATATTTAAACAGTTTTTTTTATTTTTTAATGAAATAAACGAATTATATCGACAATATTAGTATCTGTACTCTTTAAAATTTGGTACATCTTTAAAAATAATCTAAAATGTCAATATTCCATGGGTATATTGATAAATAAGTTCTAAATTACAAGAAAATGCATTTTCTACGGAAACTTAAAAGAGATAGGTAAAAATGGTATAATATAATTTGATAGACAATTAAATTGTGCATCTGATTCTCGTAAAATATACAGGGTGTTCCATTTAAATTAAACAAGTTATTGCCGTTTGAAGCTAATAATTATTTAAAATAAATTTTTAGACACTCTGTATAAGGTAGTATTATTTTTATTATTGCAACACAATAACTGATCAGTAAATAAACTACAGTAAATATTTAGTATTAAAAACTTTGATACCCTTGGAGAAATGAAGCCTTAAAATTTTTACTGCAATTTCACATAATTGAAAATATTTCAAAAACGGTAAGGTTTAAGTATAATAAATCGTAATCAAATTTACCTTTATTTTAATCGTAGAAACTAAAAATGCAATAATATACAGGGTGTTCCATTTAAAAAAATACAACTTTGATATTTTTTATTTATTTGGGACACTCTGTATCTTGTAAAAATATTTTTAAATTGTAGCTCTAATAGTCCTTCAACAAACCCAAAACTTACAATTTGTAAAAATCTAATCGTTTAGCTACAATACTCCGTGTCGTATGTGGTGAACAACCCTGTATAATATAGTATGCTGGGTAACTCTATCAACAATCGCTTAAATTACTGGCTTATATTTAAGAAACACACTGTGTAGAATAATTCATTACCCTTTTTGACCAGGTACACTGTAAGGGACACGTCCAGGTGCCGGGGACGCGTCGTAAATGTGATTGAACTCTTCTTGAGGTTCTCGCTCCAACGTTTGGATCATTCGAAACATATCCATCGTCAATTCGGAAAATTTGACTTGATCCGTAGCACAACCAACGATTAGTATTTCTTGTAGTGTTAAATTCATATATTGTGACTTCTCTACAGGTGGAGTGGTAAGCGGGCTCAACCTAAAAGAAAATAGTTCTTAATCGTCTTTCAATTTTTCAAATCATTTGTTGTCAAATCGTTAAACTGTAGCTGAAACTGATCGCCGAAAAGCGGGTTCCCACGTGTCATTTTCAAAGAAGCAGTCTCACTCTCACTTAAGGACGATTCACGGTACACCGTGACTGGCCGGGGCCGTGCGACGGTGAAGGCACGGCCAAACATTGTCAAATGTTATTTATACTTATACATTCATGCTAAGCCGAGCACGGTCCGAGCCTCGCCGGAACCCGTCCGTGCCCCGTCCAAGAAATGTCGGTGTGCATTTTTCCTCGGATCCGCTACGGTCCGGCCCCGTTGCGGCAAACATAAATGAGCCGCCGCGGCTAAATACTTCGTTCGTCTACGGGCCTATAGCGACTGTTTTCTAGCAGTGTTGCCTCACCCAACTTTTAGCGCGTACCACATTATAAACTAAAAATGTACCACTTTGGTACAATTTTTTAAAGCACAACAAAATACATCTGCAAATGACTTTAACCGGTTTGGTCGTTGTGAATTTCTTCATAAATTTCTACATAAAAAACTTCCTGGAGAAAGACACAAATCGAGACGAAAAACATGAAATAGAAATTCAGAAAACCCAATTATAAGTATGTATAGGTTGAAGAAATCTAAGTAATTCTAATACTACACACAATACTTGGAAAACTTAAATTTTATTAAAAAAAAAACGCAAATATAGAAGCATGTTAGAAACAGTAAATTTTCAAGTTTTTTCTTCGGGTTATTTAATATAGGCAACGCCATAGACATTACAACGTTTATACTACGTCGTCAATTAATGCGGATTGTCTCCGAATGGTATCGGTAAGCGCGTTTAATGCAATATCAACGACAATAATTATTAAATATCTATTCATTTTCGGTGCGCGTGGGAAATAATTATTGTACCAAATCATCCTGGATTTGAAAATGTAGTACCACTGTACCAAATAGAATTAAAAGTATCAAATTTGGTACAAATGTACCACTGCGGCAACACTGTTTTCTAGAATATAATCGGCACGGACATGATCCCCGTTGTCCACTCGGTGTAGCATATATTGAAGGCCCGGACGTGGCTCGGTGTCTACTTTACGGAACGTGCCCGGCTCGGGTACGGCCCGGTGTACCATGAATCAGCCTTAAAGGACCTTCAGTATATGCTACACCGAGTGGACAACGGGGATCATGTCCGTGCCGATTATATTCTAGAAAACAGTGTTGCCGCAGTGGTACATTTGTACCAAATTTGATACTTTTAATTCATTCACTGGGACTCAAATGAACATGAGAACATCAACGTCTATCCAGAGTGATCAATAAACTTCGGCATCATATTCTACCGATAAGAATAGGTAAAAACAATGATACAACTAAAAAAAGAATATTTTAAATTTTATCCAACCGTTTTTTATTGTAGTGGTAAAATTCATATTTTTTTATCAAACATATTTGAATTCTACAAGATATTAGGTTTTGGTAAAATATAGTGTTATTAGATTAAAATAACTTTTTTATTTTGTTATTGCTCACAACCTAACGAAACCAAACCAAACCGCGCCGATCTCGCCTATCTCTTTCTTGATCGATTGTTGAACGGGCCGGGAATTTTTTTTTCCAAGAGCTTTTTCGTTACTAATCGACAGTATAATAGAAACTGGAGATCTGACGCTTTTTTGCGTCTTTTTAATGGAGACAAATCGAAATAAAAGCCTCAAACGGTAAAATCGCAAAAGCGCTCCACACGCAAAAACGCAAAAATCGCTTTCTGTGTGGCCGTGGGCTAAGGCCAACTAGCAGTAAGCGCCATAAAAAAAATAAAGAAGAGCGGCGAAGAGCGCAGACCTTTGCGCAGACCAAGTAAAGACGTATAGGCTTTGACCACGCCAAAATTATCATCATATATGGGAAATGTCAAGAATTGCAATTTCTAAACTTTTGCGTCTTGCCGTGCCGTGCAGCTCTTCAACCTTAACCCACAGTTCCGGCGCATGCGTATTGGAACGGCACAACAAATTAATGCTTTAATCATAGAGAAATATAAAATAAAAGAGTTGTCATTTCCATAGTCAAAAGTAGGCAACACGTTTAACGAAGATCGATTGTAGCGCACCCTTGAGCCCTAACTGAACTAATCGAAATATGACAGACCTTATCGGTAAAATAGGTATCTGCATTGCCTACCACAAAAAAGGCGGGCTGTTTAAATGTGAATATAAAATTTGATGTATTTTTAAAAATATTACGAAATTAAAAACTGCAAAAATATAATGAAAGTTTATTTTTAAAAACGGAATATTTGAAAAGTATAAACTATTGTACACTTTTCAAATGCTTACAGTTAAATGCTAAATTAAATTTGATAATATAAAACATATATGCTGAATTAACTTCGAGGGGTAAACTCCTGATGAATTTCTGTACACTAATGCCAAAGTAATGCCAAATAATTTAGTACTAATACCAATAATGCCACGAAAATGCCAACATCTTGTACACCACCAAAATACACCAGCGGTTTACCCTTCGATTTACCTATAGTATTATAAAACGTATTTAACAACGCCACTAACAAAGCATATAAGATCGCAGGGTTTGCAATCTATGCTATTATAACAGATAAAGATTTAAATAAGACATCATCAAAAATTAATTTCAACTTTAAGTTGGATTTATAAACTCAGCAGTCAGCAGTTGAAGTTCAGTTGAGGTAGCAAATGTTCAACACTATTAAATGAAGTCGCAAATTTATAGTCAGTTCGTTTTACGTTCACAGAGTTCAGAGATGGGCAATGTCTTTACATATCGAACTAGCTTTGCATGATACCCTTTCCTGGATCGTGTTCAAATCACATCATCGGCTGAACAAAATATTACATGATGATGGCAAAACACAGCACAAAATATAAAGTTCAAATCATAGAGAAATATAAGGTCTCTGGTTCCTCGGGGAAATAAAACTTCGTCCATAATTTCTGTACGCACAAACACAAAACAAACAAACAAAGTTTATGCTACACAAAATAATAACAAAATTCCAAAATTCAAAACAAAAAATTGTAAACAATTGCAAAATACAAATAATTTGCTGTCATGTCACTTGTCATTCTTGTAATGACACGTGACAGGTAGCAGGTGGCGACGCTTTGGAGCCCTAACTGAACTATGCAACATTATGGCCAAGTTAGACAACCTTTCAAACACTCTTTTATTTTAGTTACTTTATGGCTTTAATATAGCCTAGTTACGAAAGCAGCGTGTAACTCCCTGGTTGCGGCTGCCGCTTCGTGAGCAACGGGTCGTTGGATCGATCTCCAACAGAGGTAGATTTTTTACATTTTTTTACAGCTGTTTTATTTTTTTTATTTATTTAGAGCTATACGGTTAGTCTCTGGTTAAGTTTTTTTTTGTTTATAGATTGCACGCGAAATACCCGATCGATTTTATAGAACTGCTATAATATATTATTACAATTTGTACGTTTTTGAAATTTAGGTTAAATTATGCTACTATTACTTCATATGCATCTAATTGCCTGTAATTTGAAACTTGTTTAATTCATTTTAAATTATTAAGATCTATACAATGTTCTTTATCAACAATATGTTCAGCAACGCAAGATTGAAATGAAGGTGAAATTTTGGTCTCCTTTGATGTATCTTCGTTGTTCCCAAGTGTTCCAGTTCCACATACTTTAGGCTACTTGAAGGAATTACTGAACGCAAATGGTCTCGACAACAAAACTGTGATTGAATATATTGAGCTTATATCGTTATGTATGAAATAAAATTGTTTTCAATTTAATAACAACTTTTTTGAACAGCGGGAAGGTACAGCAATGGGTAATCCATTGTCTCCATTTTTGGCTAATTTATTCATGAGCAGGTTTGAAGTGGAGGCTAAGAACCAGTTTGAGTATTTTCCAAGAGCATGGTTTAGGTATGTGAATGATATTTCTGCTGTTTTTGACACACATTCAGACACCATAGATAATTTTATTTCTAAGTTAAATAATCGTTTTCCTTCCATTAAATTTACGCATGAAATTGAGAACAACGACAGATTACCATTTCTAGACGTATTGGTTATTAGAAATACTAATAATTGCCTGGAATTTGATATCTATAGGAAAAATACGACCACACGCAGATATATTCCTAATGAATCACATCATAGTGCTGAACATAAAATGGCTAGTTTAAATTTCTTAGTTCATAGATTACTTAGTTTCCCACTTTCCAACGAAAGATATGAAATAGAAAGAGATTACATTAGGAATGTAGCTGAGTGTAATGGATATTCTCCTTCACTAGTTGATAAATTAATTAGAAAACGTAGGTATAGGTTAATGATTTCTGAAAATTCGACTTTTCAAGTTGAGAAAAGGAATTTTTAAGAATGTCAATTATAAACTTGTGTATAGTGCTAATAATAAATTACAACAATTATTAGGTAATCCAAAGGATAAAACACCTCCACTGGAAAGGTCGGGTATTTATGAAATTTCTTGTAAAGATTGTAATCAGAAATATGTTGGGCAAACTAGAAGATCAATATTAACTAGATTTAAAGAACATTTAGCTCAGCTAAGATATGGTAGACCGGATAAATCTTGCGTTGCCGAACATATTGTTGATAAAGAACATTGTATAGATCTTAATACTTTAAAATTAATTAAACAAGTCTCAAATAACAGGCAATTAGATGCATATGAAAGCATCAGAATTAATAAATGTAAAGATAGTATGAACAGAGACAACGGTCCAATTCCTTCAAGTTCTTTGTTCCTACTACTCTAGCGGCGGAAATCTAACTGTTACGCTCAGTGGGCTCTGACTCGGTTGGCTAGATTTTGCCACGCCCACTCGGTGCCCACTGAGCGAGTATATAAACGCTCAACTTGTAGATTGTACTGTTGTTGCTTAGATTGTACTGTAGATGCTAACATGGTTAGCGAAACGCGCGTCCAGTGTAAAAGTAAAAGTGTTTTGGTGTATTCTGGTGATTTAGTGTTTTTATTTTGCTATAATAAAAGACAAGAAAATAACCCACGATTTAATTTTGGCGGGAACTGTCGGTTGGAGTTGGAGAGTTGCACGGTACGGCTAGATGGAAGTATTTCCAAACCAAGTGACCGCATTTTTTATGATCATAATACCGGGTCCAGACTAAGGTGACAAAAAGTAAACACGATTTTGAGACAAAAACAAGACAAACTTGAAACAAAAAATGGGGAATTCTGACAAGACAAACTTGAGACAAATTGTCTACACCGCAAGAACAAAAGTACAACAAAGTCAAAAGTTTAGTTGTTGCGGAATGCCACACTGCGCCGACAACTTGTCGCAAAATATACGAACAAAACAGAGACACTTTGATCTTTACCGACTCGAGACGGGACATTGAAAAGTCTTCGAATTTTGAAACAAAACAAAAATGTCGCAAACATGTATTGGATTTATCGCAATTTTGTCGTAAAATATGAATGTTTCTGTCTTGTCGTTGTTTTGTCTGCTTTTTCTGCTATACTAACGATTTTTTTTGCAACTAAAAGTTAGGCGTTCAGAAAATTTGATTAAATTTGTGACATTTTTATTATACTTAGAGATTTAGTTGCGCGTTTCGAAGAATTCAGCATATTGTCTATATACGTTTTACTTAGTAAACATTTGGGCTTTCATACAGTAAAATAAAATACTGCGACTTTTTGCGACTTTGCTGATAAAATGAGAAAAACATTCTTGGTTTCCTCTAATTTGCAAATCAGTGATATACTAATGTGAGGTGTAAAACGCGATGGCATTGTTGTGTACAAAGCGATCCCATTAGTGCCACTAGCAGTATAGCACAATTTGGCATTAGTAGCGGCTTTAGTGGTATGGGCATTGCTCGCGGATCAGTCGTAGCATTAGTAGTATTAGTTGCGATATTACTACTGGTATTAGTGGCATTGACCGTGGAAACACTGGAACACTGATTTTTCTTTCTTTTTTTTTTAGAATCGACGAATTATCCTTTATTTTGTTCATATTATTCTCTCTTTAATTGAAAATAGCAATAATTTATATAAGGTCTACATAAAAAAATTTCGATCAACTATCGGTGTCAAATATCCCACTGTGCGGCATAAGGTAGCTATGTGGTAGCTACCGTATGATCGAATAAAAACGGCGTCAGCGATGGCTATGTAAATTTATATGGGAAATGTCATCGATCGTCATTTCCAAGCCAAATGGACGCCGTTTTTATTCGATCATACGGTATATACTTTGTTGTATAATTTACCTGTGGGATAGAACAATAGGGTTCGTATCCGTATGAAGTACCGTCACCAACGATTCAGATGTGATAAATGCTTTGATCTCGTCTAACACCAAACTCCATTCGATCTGATCATCGGGTTCGTAAGTGCTAGTATAATCGGCGATATGTCTATCTAACTCAACTATTAACTCCCTAACTAACTTCATTCTTCTTAGAAGAAGGCACACTACTATAAATCGTGCGTAATAGCGAAGCTTTTTTACCATCAGTTCTGACCTGTAACAGAATAATACCAGTCAAATAACGGTGCGTCTCAAAAGTGGCTCACCCCTATCACTTTTTTATTTTTGCAGGTAAAAAATCGAGATTTGGTATGTTAGTATATGCCAGAAATGAAATTAGGATTGATTGACGTATTCAATTGTTTTTGGTCACTTTTGATTTTTAAATGGCACCGTCGGTATATTTTTACTTTATTCGATAGAAAATAGCACTCTGAATAGAGGAAATATCATACGTCAATTTCTGACATTTTCGCTTAAAAGAAAATCGTCTTTTAAATTTCAATCTAGAGTGCTATGGTTGTGTTAAAAACACTAATTTTTAATCAAGGGGCCATAGAAAAATAAATTTGATCGTCTAATGTTTTTTTAAACTATCGCCCAATTGCACTCCATGCCCACATTATCTAAGATCATTGAAAGATTGGTTAAAAAAGGTTTCTATCTTTTCTCCTTAAATATAAAATACTTACTACCCATCAATTTGGATTTCTAAGTAACAGTTGCACAAATGATGCTATGTTCGACCTTTTTAATAATGTATACTCTAGCCTGAATAACCATCACTCTACAGCTACAATTTTCTGTGATTTCTCTAAGGCTTTCGATTGTGTAAATCATAATATCTCAATTAACAAATTGCAATACTATGGTTTCAGGGGAGTGCCGTTCGAATGGCTTAGGTCATATCGTGGCAACAGGAGGCAGCTTGTGAGGATTGATACGTCTATGTCTTCTTGTAAGCCTATACAATGTGGTGTCCCTCAGGGTTCAGTACTTGACCCTATTTTGTTTCTGGTGTTTATCAACGACATTGCAAATCTAGACATTAGCGGTAAAATCTGCCTCTTTGCGGACGATACTAGTTTCACTTGGAGCGGGCCAGATGTTGCGTCGCTATATGATACTATATCCAGTGACTTACACACCATTAAGTCTTGGTGCGATTCTAATCTCCTATGCCTCAACCTATCAAAAACTAAAGTTTTGTCATATAAAAGTACTATACAACCTTTTGTACTTAATAACACCACTATTGACGTCGTGGACTCTGTGAAATTCTTAGGACTTGTTGTAGACAACTCGATAAAATGGGACTTTCACATCGAAGCTCTATCAAAGAAACTAAGCGCTGCCTGTTTTGCGCTAAGAGCAGTTTCTAAGGAACTTAACTTCTCAACCTCTAGAATAGCCTATTATGCCCTTTTTGAGTCACATCTTCGTTATGCCCTTCCATTCTGGGGTACTTGCATGCTCAACAAAATTTGATCGTGTTTTCAGACTTCAAAAGAGAGCAGTTCGATATTTATTGGGACTGAACAGTAGAACTCACTGCCAGAATTTCTTTAAAAATTTGAAAATACTGACTCTTCCTTCTTTATTCATTTTTGAATCCGTTTGCTTAATCCGCAAGCACATATCTGCTATTCCCGAAAGGCCATCTCATAACTATCCACTTAGGAATGCAGAGCACGATCTTTATCTGCCAACCCCGTGCTCAGAACTAATTAAAGGTTCAATACTGTACAATGCCAAAAAAATGTACAATCATCTGCCTTTGAATATCAGGTCGCTTTCATTCTTTCCCGCATTTCGCAAAGCTCTAAAATCATACTTACTGTAGAGAGCCCTATATGCGGCAAATGACTTTTTTGTTGATGTTTAATTATGAACAATTTTGAATTTTAAAATTTTGATCATCTCACACACTGGTCAAAGGTCAAGTATTTAATATTTTATAACTCTAAAATTATATCTATTTACTGCGTACTGTTCTAAAATTGTCCATCTATATTCTTTTTGTGATTTGAAAGACTTAAATTTTTTTGAATTGTGTTATTTGTATTGTGTATTTTTTGTTGTTTGTATTTTTTTTGTGATTTTGTTGTTTTGTGAGTGAAGCTCTCGATGAAGCTGTTTTGGCTTTTTGTACAATAAAGCGTTGTTTGTTTGTTTGTTCGTGTCTTGTCATGGTCAGTTAAAAGATGCTCAAATAGTATTTCTAATCATGTTCCAATTTTCTCAAATGGAACAAGGGTGGCTCATTAGTATATTTGTGTCATTTTCTATCCAATAAAGTAAAAAAATACCGAGGGTGCCATTTAAAAATAAAAAGTTGTAGTCATTTCCGGTGAAAAAGGAACTGACCAGAAACAATTGAATATGTCAATTAATCCTAATTTATGTCATATACTAATAGACCAAATCTCGTTTCTTCATCTGAAAAAATAAAAAAGTTATAGACGCCAAAAGTTGTGAGCCATTTTTGAGACTCACCCGGTATACTATTTTGACATTTAAAAAAATAGTGTATGCACTATGTTCGCTTATTTGAAGTGAAACTTCTTACTAATAGCCTTGTTTATATACAGGGTGTTTCAAAACAAATGCGAAAAACTTTAGGGGGTGATTCCTTGTTCAAAATAAAGGGTAGTTTGCTTTATAAACGTTGGGTCAAAAGTCAACCATTAGGGAGATATCGCCCCTATCTATATATAAACTACCCCTATCATTCTTGTTAACGAAATTTAAAGAAAAATCTTATCAAACACATGCAAATGCTTTAATTTGGATAGTTTAGTTTGTTTAGAAACTTTTTTACCTCTTGTGTTTTTTTGATAAAACTCACCGATTGGAAATTAAAAAACAAAATGTAAAGCATTACATGTCAGGACAAAAAACATTTTTAGATTAATAATCTAGCGATAATAACGATAATAATAATCATCTAGATAATAACGTATTGCAGTAGAGTAATGTCAAATAAAATAATATTAGGAACATCCTAAAAAGTAACAGCGGCCGACTAGATTTTTTCCTGAAAAAATTACAGCAGCCCACTAGATTCTTTATCAGAAAATGTTTTTTGTCCTGACATGTAATGCTTCACATTTTATTTTTTAATTTCAAATCGGTGAGTTTTATCAAAAAAATACAAGAGATAAAAAAGTTTCTAAACAAACTAAACTATCCAAATTAATTTTTTTGCATGTGTTTGATAAGATTTTTCTTTAAATTTCGTTAACAAGAATGATAGGGGTAGTTTACTTCAACCCCTTCCACTCATTTAAAAAGTGAAAAATTACCAGAAAGTGTGTTTTCATAACAGTAATGCTTCCATAAAATTTTATTAGTCTATCTCTTTTCGTTTTCAAGATAAAAAATAAAAACATTATTTTTCCGCCATCTTTGTACCGCAATATCTCCTTAATGGTTGACTTTTGACCCAACGTTTATGAAGCAAACTACCCTTTATTTTGAGCAAGGAATCACCCCCTGAAGTTTTTCGCATTTCTTTTGAAACACCCTGTATAATAGCTATTAAATTGAAGGATTTGAAGGAAATGTTTGAAAAAGTGTAGTTTGAAATGTTGAAAAAGTAATAAATTAAAAAAATATTTTTTACGCCTAAGAAATAGCTCTTTACGTGTAATAAATAGTTTTTTACGTGCAACAAATAGTTTTTTATACGTAAAAAATAGTTTTATACGCGTTAAATAAAAGATTAATAAAAATAGTTTTTTACGTTTAACAAATAGTTATTTACGCGTAAAAAATATTTCTATACGCGTAAAATAAAAAAAAATAATAAAATAGATTTTTACATGTGACCAATAGTGTTTTACACGTATTAATATGATTCACTTTTACAAAATTTGTATTAAAATATCAGTATTTTTGATAAACACCGTGGACTGTTCATAAATATACGTCGCGTCACTACGTATTTCTAAAGCGGCCCATACACAAATCAAACAAATTGCGGAAAACAGGCTGTTGCGTAACGAGTTGCCAATGTATGGTAAAATGCAGAGCACTTTCGACTGACTTACCTTAAAGGTAAGTTAACTTACCTTGAAGGTAAGTCAGTCGAAAGTGCTCTGCATTTGGTAGTAGGTACAATTGAAAAATCCCTCAGGGATAAGGAATACACATTAGTGTCTTTCTTCGACATAGAGGGTGCTTTCAATAATGTAAAGACAGATGCGATCAAAAAAGCCACGGAGGAACTAAAACTAGAGCAGTTAACCATCAACTGAGTGTTCGAAATGCTGGGAAACAGGACTGTCACATCGGAGATGGGAAACAGCTCAGCCAAAAAGTGTGCAACAAGAGGCACGCCACAAGGAGGGGTATTATCACCTCTGCTGTGGCCGATTGTAATGAACCCGATCCTGACCTCTCTGACAATGAAGGGAATTAGGATAAAGGCATATGCAGACGACGTGGTAATATTTATCGATGGCAAAAACTTGCAGACGATCAGTGACATCATGGAATCTGCTCTGAAGGAGCTAACGGAATGGGCAAAAAGGAATGGTTTGGGCATCAACCCAGACAAAACCGAACTCATTCTGTTTACAAGAAAATGCAAGATACCCACGTTCACGCTACCAAAGCTGAAAAGGAAGACACTTGTACTTGCTAAGGAGACAAAATATTTAGGAATCATTCTGGACTCGAAGCTTTCCTATAAAAGGAACACGGAGGAAAGGATGATAAAGGGAATAAATGCATTCTATGCATGTAAAAACTATTTGGAAAGAGATGGGGGTCTGCAGCCGTACATTATACACTGGATGTACACTGCTATAGTTAGACCAATCATCACTTATAGAGCACTAGTATGGTGGGAAGCGGTACTTAAAGAGACTAATAGAAAAAGCCTCACAAAAGTACAGCGATTAGCAGCTCTAGGTACAACTGGAGCAAGGAACAATACAGCGCAAGCTGCGCTAGAAGCAATTCTGGACTGGCAATCAATCGACTGGCTCGTGAAGGATCTGGCCGCTAAGGGTGCACTAAGATTAAGGAAATCCAATCTGTGGAACCAGACCAACTACGGTCACTCGAGGATATTGCCAGTGATAGGAAAAATCATGGTGAACACGAGTCCACATCTGCTAGACCAGAAAACGGACTATATGCTCACCAAACATGATTTTGGAGAAAAGATAAGGATTTGCATCCCGACAAGAGAAGAATGGGAAAGCAACCGAGTAATGAACACTCAAGAGTCTACACAGATGCTCCCGCAAATTCAGGGGGACAGGTGTAGGCATCTTCTCAGAGAAACTAAACATCCGACGATCTTTGAGGCTATCGGATGGATGTAATGTTCTACAAGTAGAGGTTTACGCCATAAAGGAAACGGCTAGATGTATACGAGAGAAAATTGCTGATAGACCAATAGGGGATATAGTGATATACTCTGACAGCTTGGCCGCTTTAAGAAGCATCACCATGCAATCAGTGAGATCGAAAACTGTGATGGAATGCCGAGAAGCACTGTCCTGGCTGCGTCGGCGTCGGGGCGGGGCTACTCTGTGCTGGGTGCCAGGCCACAGCAATGTGGTGGGCAATCAGGAAGCAGACCGACTCGCCAAAGACGGGGCCAGGGGAGAGGCCGTGGCAGATGACCCACCACTTGTGACGATCGACACACTGAAGGAGGCTATAGGAACTACCATCAAAGCCAAGCAGCAAGAGATGTGGCAACACCGTGAGGACTGCGCTACAGCTCGAAGACTATGGCCAGTGGTAGATAGCAATAAGACAAAACAACTACTAGAGCACAAAAAGGACCTAGTACGCATAATTGTAGGTGTCGTCACTGGAAACTGTCCCACGGGGGTAAACCTCGTAAGATGGAAAGTTTCCGACGACGACTACTGCAGAGAATGCGAAGAAGAAACCGTATAGCACCTGCTGTGCCACTGTCCGGCACTGGAATACCGACGCTTTAAAACTTTAGGGCAAGGTTTTTTGGAGGGACTAGAGGAAGCAGCAGAAGCCAACATCAGCGACATCGGGAACTTTGCAAAGAGCTGGAAGTGTTTTAACGCAAAGAAAGAATGAGAGGAAGGTTTGGTAAAACAATACGGGGGTATCGCAATGGGCCCAAGGCCTCCGAGTGAGGGATCAAATATGATCCCAAACCCCAGCAACCTAACCTAACCTAGCCTGTGCATTGTTTAAGAAACAACCATGTCCTCAATTGCCATTGCGTCAATTATTATCGTATATACCCTAGATGATGTCAATGATAACAAAAAACGAAAAAGAAAACAAAGAATTTGGATGAAAGAACTAAAATATTGCACAACGAAGCGCAACACACACATACACATACAACATTGCGCATCGCTTTGTTGCGCAATTTGTTTGATAATGTATGGGCCGCTTAAGTCGTTACCACTACTAGCCCGCGTGCCACGGCCTTGAATTTTTACTCTTGGCGCGCGTATAGAAGTTTCACTTCAAAAATTGAATCCTTTGATACGTACCTATCTTCTTTTGCTGCTCTTGAATAATACGCCCTTCCTCTAATTGCGGAATAAAAAGAAAATGCTTCGTTTAAATAATTTGTTTCGCTGGTTCTCAGGCTGAAATAGAAAAGAGTCTGTTTAGGACAGAATAATAAAAAAGGTTAAAACAAATAGAAACAGTCGAACTCGGTTATAACGAACACGAAGGGACAGAAAAAATTGTGCGCTATAACCGACTGTTCGTTATTTCCGATTTTTATTAAAATTTGTTATAGAGTAAGAAACTTTAAGTTACTAAAATACAAATAAAAAAATATCTGAAGAGTTCCTAATAACTGAATAAAAATACCCTCTAATTCTGAAATCACTAGTGATGAGATAACTCGAGCGAAAATTCGCTCGAGTACTCGATTATTGAAATAACCGACATCGCTCGATTATGAACGAGCGATGCCAGTGACGAGTACCAAGCGACGAACGCAAGCGATCCTAGAATGAACTAAATTGAAATCCGATTTTAATGTGATATAAGTACTCGATAAAAAGCCGAGCGAATTTTCTACATACATTGCAGGTAACATTTTCTAGAACGTACTATTTGGAGTAATTTGGTACTATTCTCGTGATGGATGGCACGATATGGCGCGATTTTATTGTAACTAAAAGAGCAATCTTATAATCGTTGAACAAAAACATGTTAAAAACCAAATAATAAGTTCAACTTTGCAGGTTGATTTTTAACATAGTTCACTTACGCCATCTTTTTGAGAGGGGTTTTTTGCAATTAAAAACAGGAAATTAGGGACATAAGGGTGGGAAGGATATTTTGTAAATTAAAACCCTTAAACTCATTGTTAAAGAAAGTAGGAAATGACATTCGGCACTTTCTTGCGCAGGCGCAGGTGACATTTGACATTCGGCGCTTTCTCAAGTGGCAAGCGGGTTGTCTAAAATGACGCCGATTTGTATATTTTGTGCAAGGATACTATAGAGATAAGGATAGTTCGATACCTATCTTCCTGTATTGTCAGTTTTTTTACGTTTTCTAGGGACCGAGCATAGATAAATGAAACAAGTTTAGATTAGAAGGTGCCCATAAGGACAATGTAAACACTATTTGGCGCTATTCTTGCAACGGTCGCGACCCAAAACTTTTGAAAATTTCGGAGCGGTTCGGCTTTTTCCGGAATTATATCGCCAAATATTGTTTATTCAAATTTATTATTATTTTCGTTTAATTTTATAAATAAAATACAGTGTGTTGCATACAAAAAAACTTTATTTTATATAAGGACGCATGTATGAAATACCTATGAAACATTGGAAACCGACGTTATGCCACGATCCACGATGGTTTTTGCAGTTCACAGTTCACAGCACAGCTTTTTAAGTTTTAATGCCACTTTTCCACAATTATCACCGGTCGGAGTAAATAAAACTTGAATTGAACTCACAAGATAGCAATAATTACTTTGAAAATGGACGCTATAAACACTTTTCGGAATTAATTTAATGAGAGCGGTTTAGATTTTGAAAGATTATTATGTTTTTGGAAGATTCTGACTTTGACAAGAGAAAATTATTTCTGTTTTTGTTTGCCGTTGTTCTTAGCGACCGCTATAGCAGCGCCAGATCGCGTATAACGGTCGCGACCCAAAATAATTTCGCGACCCAAAATTTTTACGGGCTTTCCAATCTAAACTTGTTGCATTTATCTATGGGACCGAGTTGAAGTTCGCGCTCAAGATTTTAGACAGTGACAGTTATTTTTGCGTTTAACGGACAAGCGCACAGTGCGGCGGAAGATAAATCTAGCGGGACAAAACCGTTTGGTTAGAAATAAACCAAAAATGTGTACTGATAAGAATAAATAGTAGACATTCCAATTGATACAAAAATGCATGAATTATTTTTTGGTCGTATATATTCTTTGTATTTCGATACATTTTTATCAACCAACCATATAATATCGCTCCTGAGATTTTGTCCCGCTAGAATAACCATCCGCCGCACTGTGGAGCGCTGGTCCCAATGACTAAAGAATCCAAGGACAAATAACACCCGAGAGCAAATTGTGACGATGTGACCAAACAGTGCCGTGGCACATATTTTTCTTAACCTAGCTGTTTGAAGCAATATTTATATTTTTTGATAATTGTTTTGACTACGCCTATGGTGTATCGTCCTAATTAATTACGAAAAAAACGTATTAAAATGTTAACAAAAGGTACAAAACTAGTATTGACGTATAGCACATATCAAGTACATATAGATGTTAATTGAAATTGAAGAATAATTATCGAATTCAATAAGAAAACGCTAAAAAGTTGGAGTGGACTGTTTATTTACCTATGAAACGTAACTCCTGGCTCTTTCTTATCGCTGCTGCTTTTACACTTGAAAGCTGAACAACTAATCACCATTGTAATAAAGTTTATACAAAGTTTACTACACACAAACTATTAAAAATCGCTAAAATTGTCGCTGGTGACCAAATGATGACTCATTGTTTGCCACCAAAACAAAAAAAAAGGTCACAAATTCTGCTGCAGCCCGTATAGGGGCGTTACATGTCCTTATATTCTTTAGTCATTGGCTAGTCCCCATCTGGTTCCTGTGTGACGTAAGCATCCAGGGTGACGCGATCGAACAGTCCATTAGAATATATACAGTCCTTGTATTTTGTGCTTTAACTTTACTGAAAAATTTGAAAATATTAAAAGTACCATCAGTTTGCAAAAAAAATAATTTTCACTAAAAAATCCGCTAAAAAATTTCATGGTCGCTAGAATTCCCACTATAGTGGATTTTGATAATACCATTCCACTAAATGACTATAAAAACCACTAAATCTAGTGGAAAATCTACTGTGTTGGCAACACCGCACCTACATAGAATGGGACTGGTGGAAGACGCCGAATGCCGACCAGCGTTGCCAGAGCTGGTACATTTGTACAGATCTGGTACATTTTGGAACCGTTTGTACCAAAGTACATTTTTTACATTTCTGGTACATTTTTTAACAGTAAACATTGATTACAACAATAATTTTTTGAATAAAAATCGGCAAATTACACTCCAAATATCGAAAGTTCAAAAAATCGACAATTTTTCCCTTAGAATTTTTCCTAATACCGCTCATCACTAATTTCGTTTTCTACATCGCCGGTATCGCCCTCTATCAAATATAAGTCAAACTATATTCTGCCAACCCTGCCAAGAATTCTTTTTCTATCTGTGGCTGACAGTACCGAGACGACTTTGAACTGATGCGCGATTTGTCTGGTACATTTTCGATCAAATCGATCAAAATCTGGTACATTTTTACCACAGAATAGTACAATTCTGGAAAAGTCTCTGGCAACGCTGATGCCGACTCGGTATGGAAGATGACGAAACAATGAAGCACGTTATGTGTACCTGCCCCGCTGGGGGCAGGAGCAGAGGAGCAGGTATGATGTGTTTGGCGAAATCACGCTAGACCCATCAGACCTAGGAGACATACCACTCTCGAACATAACAGCCTATGTTAAAAGGTTGGGTCTGAACTTTAATGCTCGTTTTCTATTAAAGAACTTGTAGAAACTGAGCCACAATAGGCCCTCGGCCGCAGTGGACAGTCTTATTTAGGACCCACTCTTAGTGAATACAGTACAATCTTCAGAATCAGTTGGCTTAAAGATTATACCAGTTTCTACCATGATACAAAGAATACAAGGTATGATATTGCGCAGGTTGGTCATTACGTCACAGGTGATAAACGGCACCATTGGTCGGCAAGCTCCGCGCGCCAATTTCAAATTGTCAAACAGATGACACAAAAAATGTAAAAATAATTTTTCAAATGTCAAGCTCGATGATTTGACATAACTTTTGAGGTTATGTCCTAATTCTTCCCTATTTTAGGTCTTTTTTTATTAGTGGCAATTGAACAATATGGATATTTTTTTGTATGGCGTATGACGTCACAGGTGGTATGCGCAAACTTAACGAAATTGGAACCGCTATCGATCATACCTTGTTTTCTTTGTACCATAAGTTTCTACTGTATTAATAAATACTACCAATAACACGCACAATATATTTTTTTTTAATTTCTCTGAATTTTGACCAAAGAAAATAAAAATGAAAAGACCTTCTGATTTTGTTTTGCAAACTATTCTCTGAAAAGCTGCAACAATGGAGTCATTGTTTCGATAATTGTGTTCAATTTAGTTAAGAAATAATCAAAATTATTTACTTACTAGTAATGGTAATAGAGTTGTCCAATTTTTGACGCTATTTCTCCAATTTGCCATCGCTTTAGTCCGTATTTCGTATCGAGAATTTGGCGATGTTGCTGTTGGAATTTCCACAATTTCGTGTAAATGTCGAACGTTCTGCCGAAATATGCCTGCCATTGTTTGTGTCCGTATTGTGGTAAATCCCTAGAAATAAACATAAAATAAGTGTATTATATTTATTTTGTGTTACTTTTACTTATAAAAACTTATATATGGGATAGTAGAACATCAATCTTTTTAAAGGTTTCTTTTTATTTTGATTCATTAATGAAAAGATCAATATTTTGAAGAGTGAATTTAGTAGTATATTTAAATAATTCATTTTCTTTATAATTACTAGAAACACAGACTTCAACTTATTTAACCTAATTATCCAACTATTTACCCTGTTCTGGATATTATCGTTGGTTTTCTACTGTTTGATGGCTGCTTCTTTGTGGTAAGATCCGCAAATATGGCTACCGTCACATATTCTGACTTGTATAAGTCATTTATACATAGTAGGGTTCAGAATCGGGAAATGCCGTTACCGAAAGTACCGGGAATTCCCGGTTCTTTTGAGACATCAAAAAACCGGGACTCGAAATTATTAATTCTCGGTTCGTTCGGTACTTTCGGGACTCGGTAATAATAATTAAAAACATATTTTTTTGTTACGTGCGGTCGAAATCAAATACTTCTAAATAAGTTGTGATGCTATCTCTTACTGTTCCTACTTCTGAAGTTATTTTGAATTTTGTATACTGTTAAATATTGAAGTTTAAATATGTTATATTATTATTTAGTATAATATTGCTGAATATATTAGTTATATTTTTTTGTGTTATGTTTTTATAAGCATTTACATCTTAAATTTAAAATGTTAAGTTGTTTTCGAGGTTGGTTGATGTGTGATGTAATTTATATGCTTCCTATGTGTTTTCTTTTTTTTTCGCCTGTGTTCGTGTTTATTTTCTGACTTAATATTTTGATATTATTTTCATTTCAAATTCAATTTTTTATCGGTTTTAGTTTTGATTACTAATACTTTTTTCTTTACTTGTGTTCATGTTTGTTTTCATGTTAATTTTTCCATGAATGATTACTTAATAATTTGATATTATTTTCATTAAAAATCTCAATTTTTTATCCATTTTACTTTGAAAACCCATCCCTTGCTTTCTGATTGATGAACTGCATCACCACTGAACAAAAATTAGTCAGTACCGAAAAAACCTTAGGTTCCTAAGAGGCGTGTTATCGAAATTCCCGGTTCCGAAAAACAGCTTCGGTTCCGGAAACTCTAATACATAGAGTAGTAGGGGCGGATACAGGAATTTATTTTAGAGGAGGCCCAAATAAAAAATAATGTAGAATATGCTATTTAGAGCGCCATTTTTAACCAAAAACCTAATATTTAACGCAATTTATAGAATTGGGGGGGGGGGACCTTGGCCGCTTGGCTAAATCACCACAATACACCAAAACACTTTTACTTTCACACTGGACGCGCGTTTCGCTAACCATGTTAGCATCATCAGCAGATGATTATAAACTAAAGTACAATCTACAAGTTGAGCGTTTATATACTCGCTCAGTGGGCACCGAGTGGGCGTGGCAAAATCTAGCCAACCGAGTCAGAGCCCACTGAGCGTAACAGTTAGATTTCCGCCACTAGAGTAGTAGGAACAAAGAACTTGAAGGAATTGGACCGTTGTCTCTGTTCATATTATCTTTACATTTATTAATTCTGATGCTTTCATATGCATCTAATTGCCTGTAATTTGAGACTTGTTTGCGATTGTTGTTGATTTCTGAAAATTCGACTTTTCAAGTGGAGAAAGATACGTCTAAATATTTTTCAATACCGTTTGATAGAGTGTGTGCTATCCCGTGGTCTAAAAGGAATTTTTAAGAATGTCAATTATAAACTTGTGTATAGTGCTAATAATAAATTACAACAATTATTAGGTAATCCAAAGGATAAAACACCTCCACTGGAAAGGTCGAGTATTTATGAAATGGTATGGTATGAAATTTCTTGTAAAGATTGTAATGAGAAATATGTTGGGCAAACTAGAACATCAATATTAACTAGATTTAAAGAACATTTAGCTCAGATAAGATATGGTAGACCGGATAAATCTTGCGTTGCCGAACATATTGTTGATAAAGAACATTGTATAGATTTTAATAATTTAACATTAATAAACCAGTCTCAAATTACAGGCAATTAGATGCATATGAAAGCATCAGAATTAATAAATGTAAAGATAGTATGAACAGAGACAACGGTCCAATTCCTTCAAGTTCTTTGTTCCTACTACTCTAGTGGCGGAAATCTAACTGTTACGCTCAGTGGGCTCTGACTCGGTTGGCTAGATTTTGCCACGCCCACTCGGTGCCCACTGAGCGAGTATATGAACACTCAACCTGTAGATTGTACTTTAGTTTATAATCATCTGCTGATGATGCTAACATGGTTAGCGAAACGCGCGTCCAGTGTAAAAGTAAAAGTGTTTTGGTGTATTGTGGTGATTTAGTGTTTTATTTTGCTGTATAACACACCAAAGGTTCCACAACCAAAGGTTCCAACCCTCAACTGTAATACACCCTGTAGCTACAAAACGAAGCACACCCGGACTTATGTTGATATAAAGAATAAATCTTATTTTTACGTGAGGAATCTCCCCACGAGAAATGGCACATATTTTTTGAAACACCCTGTTTGTGTAAAAAATAATCCAAAATGATAATATGTAATAAATACTCGGTAGAAATTATAACATGGTATTTTTGTTATAAGATTTTTATGTCTTATCATTCTATTCAGAGTGACATTTTCTATCGAATTAACTAAAAAAATACGGAGGGTGCCATTTGAAAATCAAAAGTTGTCACCATTTCCGGTGAAACAGGAAGTAACCAAAAACAATTGAGTACGTCAGTCAAGCCTAATTTTTGTCATATCTAAACATACCAAATCCCGATTTTTTATCTAAAAAAAAAATTGAAAAGTTATAGGGGTGAGCCACTTTTGAGATTCACCCGGTATAGATACCTCAAAGAGTGATAGGGAATAAAAATAAAGTTATTCGAGAAACAATAAAACACTTTTTAACGAATTTATTTTAAAATGTCGATAAAGATATATTAAATATTTAAAACAATATATTAAATATATTGTCCGTAGGTACTGTTATAGTATTTGACCTAGTTTTGTGAGATTTTACCTAATTTAGGGAAGTAAATTATATAAAATAAAAGAACGTTTTAGAAACAATAGCGGAGAATATTAATTTAACTATACTGTTATGTAAACTTTGCTTTTTTTTTAATTATTACTCTCTAATAATAAGCTCTAGTTAATTAATTGTTTAGTACATCATCAGGTATATAATTATGGGATAATAGGTCTTACACTAAAATACATAAACAATATTGGTAGTATACGCACGAGTCATAACATGAATCGATGAATTAAAAATGTATTAAAAGAAACAATTGTTGTCATTAACGATAAAGCTGTGACAAATCAACAAATTAGAAAACAATGTATCTATTGTATGACACCGTAGAGTAGAGTAGTGCCAAAAATCGTTACGTATCGGTGCGAATAAAACACTAAACGTGAAACAGTTTTTCGTAGGCGAGGAGGGTTGCGGCCCCCTTATCGAGCCCCCGTAAAGGGTCGGAACGAGCGCTTACCTCAGTCCGTTGAACAACTGTTTTGACTTCTCGAGCAGATGTACGAATTCCATGACGATCTTCCGTTCGTGGTCCTCCATACTAGCCATACCGACCATCTTTCCTCCGGTTTATGAGCGCATTATAGTCGGCATCGTTTGCGAAAACAAAAAACAAGGCACCGTCGTCGCCGAGCGGCGCGTCCGCGGCGTCGAGCTACCACCAGCCGTCGGCGTCGGCCAGAAATCGAAGGGCGACGCTGACGGACATGAACGACTGCATCGCCCCCTCGTTGGTGACGCAGGGAAGCTTGCGAAGCCGAGCAACGGTGCCGATAGGGGGCGCTTTTTTATAGCGCAAACTGGAGCTTCGTTCAAAACCTCGAAATTAGTGGAATAAATTAGCGATTAGAGGTTTCAATTAGCGTGAGTTCGTGCCATAAACTTTGGTACGGCTGATGTCTAAGATGGAGAGTCTGGAGTCTCTGTGGAGCCGTCTCAGATACTAGCTATTGTCAAAGCCCTGGGACTGTATGATGAGTTAAGCGGCCCATACATTATCAAACAAATTAGAGCCAATGTATGGTAGTGTTTGATGCGTTGCGCAATTGTTAGATGAGTTTCAAGAATGTTTGAATTCTTTTGTGCAACAGGACTGTTTGCGCAACGCGTTGTGTAATGTATGTGTGTGTTGCGCTTCGTTGTGCAATATTCTAGTTCTTGCATCCAAATTCTTTGTTTTCTTTTTCGTTTTTTGGTATCATCGACATCATCTAGGGTATATACGATAATAATTGACGCAATGGCAATTGAGGACATGATTGTTTCTAAAACAAAGCACAACTTTTAATAAAAAGTTTGATCAAAATTTTACTAAGTGCATGGGTGATGCAGTTGTGCAACGGAACGTTGCGCATCGCTTTGTTGCGCAACTGGTTTGATAGTGTATGGACCGCTGAATTTAGTATATTAGTATATGACATAAATTAGGATTGATTGATGTATTCAATTGTTTTCGATCACTTGCTGTTTCACCGAAAATGACTACAACTTTTGATTTTTAAATGGCACCCTTTGGTATTTTTTTACTCCATTTGATATCTAAATGACATTCTGAATAGAATGACATAGCATATGTCAACTTTTGACATTTTCAATTTAAAAAAATAGCCTTTTAAAATTTAATTTAGAGTAGTAGTGGGAACTATCCTCGGAACTATCGAATGAATACTATCGAAACATTCGATAGTTGCAATTCATTCGAATAACTTGATAGTTAGTAAGAAAACATTCGTTGAAAACTATTCGAATAAAAATTATCGAATAGATCCGTCATCTGCCTTGAAATATTGTATTATAGTAATTCGGCACCAAAAACCATTCACTTATAAAATTCATTCATTTATGAAATTCATTTATTCGTCAGGATCGATTATAATAAAATATTAACTGAATTTTACTAGTTGTCGCCCGGCGACGTAGGTTTCTTTCCGAAGAACCCGACAGCGGTCGGTGGCAATGCTATGAAAGAAGCCGGCATCTTTGATTTTTTGCGGAGTCAGATATAGATAAGGACACATTATTTTTTTTTATTGAGGTGCTAGTATTTACACAGAAACTATATTATGAAGAGCGCTGTTGCCATATTTTGGTATTAGTTGATATTAGCAAAGAATATTATTGTTTGGCTTTAGTTAGTTAGGGATAGTATGTCTATATATTCTGCATTTTTTTTATTAATATTCTGTTGTTACACTGCAATAATACTTGTTATTTTGGATGTAGGAAAATTATTTTTAATGTTTTTAAGCAAAGACTGGTTTAATAAATAATAATAACAGTAATAATTTGTTATACCTATTAACAACAAAATTTAAAATCATTTAATATAAATATTTTTTTTAAGAAGTAGCAAAATATAAACAACAAATTAGTTGTAAAAATTATTTATATTAGATCCTATTTAAAAATAATAGAGTCTCTAAATTTTTTGTGTGTGGCAACGTTGGTTTATTAAATAATAATAATTACAGAACTAATTTGTTATATTAACAACAAATTTAAATCATGAAATATAAACATTTATTAATTTTCTAAGCATGCAGTGTAATGGAAGGAAAATATAAATAAAAAATTGGCAATCAAAATTATTTATATTAGGTGCTTTATATTACTATTTAAAAATTATATTTACTTTTACTTTAAAAAATAAATGAAATATTTCTTCGCAAAAAACTACATGTAAGAGAATTAGCATAAACAAAATACAAACATCGTTAACTTTTTTTTTTTAAATTAGCACGTGTAAAACTTTCATTTTAATTTTCTCACCCCATAGTTTGAGTTCGATAACCGCATTTACTTATCCACATTACTTAAATATGATTCTCAAAATTTTCCATTAAAAAATAGACCATATACCATATAAAATTAAATAATTGAAAGATCGGACTACGGAAAACCACACAAATTTTTTTTCATTTATTTTAACTATTTTAATAAAGGCAAAAATAGCACAGTATTTATACGGCGAAGTTATAAAAATTTGGAAGAACTAATAATGCACTGACGCATACAAAAATCAAACGAATACTAAATTTCACTTATCAAAAGCATTCGATAGTCGTGGCTCAACGATAACCATTTAGTCGCACGGCGAGGTTGTCACATATGCTTTAGGATACAAATGAATGAATGATTTTATTCGAATAAAACCATTCGATAATTGAAATCATTCATTCATTAACCATTCGATAGTCTAATTCATTCGATAGTTCCCATCGCTAATTTAGAGTGTCATGGCCATAAATGTAACGACAATTTGACTCGAAATACCAAGTGTGTGGTACCAAATTATTCGTAATAAAATGCCTTTTCCGAATATGCTAACGAGCCACTCGCGTTCCATTTGAAAAAATTGAGATATGATTAAAAATACGATTTGGGCATCTTTTAACCGGCCAAGACAAGACACGAAAAAAATTAGACTATCTAATCTCTTTTTCGAAGGCCCCTTGATTAAAAATTAGTGCTTTGAACACAACCATGGCACCCTAGATTAAAATTTAGAATACAATTTCCTTTAAGCGAGAATGTCAAAAGTTGACATATATGATATGTCATTCTATTCAGCTTGTCATTTTCTGTCGAATAAAGTAAAAAAATACCGAGGGTGCGATTTCAAAATCAAAAGTTTTAGTCATTTCCGGTGAAACAGGAAGTGACCGAAAACAATTGAATACGTCAATCAATCCCTTGTATGTTATATACTAACATACCAAATCTCGTTTTTTTTTTTATCTAAGCGCGATTTCTACTGATTTTTAACTAACCAGCGACTTCGTTTGCGTCGAATTAATCATTTGTAATGGTGATGATAAAGCAAAACAAGAATTTCCATTGACATACAAACTGGATAAATTTTTCTCACATTTATGTCAGCATGAGAAAAACCAATATGGCGATATTATTATATAACTTGGTAATATTTGAGGGGTAGTTTCATTTCGTTGGAATTTGACTTTCGAAAAATCCGTTTGCCAAAAATAAGCTTTTTATGTCAAGCAGTTTAAGCAGAATCGTGGTTAAGAAATTACCCAACTTTTTGGAACACCCTGTATAATTTTTTAAAAAATTTCAAAATATCTAAAAAAACAAATAAATTATGCTTGTCCAAGCGTTTTCCCGAAAGACTAACCGTTTTTTTAAATAACAAATATTGTAATATTGAAGGAGCGTTTTCACCCTCTTGGAATTTGAGATTCGAGAAACCCCTCCTTATCGAACCTCTACACCCCAAAGTCAATCCGTTTGCCAAAAATCAGCTTTAAACGTCAAGCAGTTTAAGCAGAATCGTGATTACTCAATGGTCATATTTTATGAAACACCCTGTACAAATTTATAAAAAATCTTAAAATATGTAAAACAACAAAATAAAATATAGATGTTATATATTTTAATATTTGAGGGATAGTTTCACCCCCTTAGAATTCGAGTTTCGAAAAATCCCTTCTTATCGAATCTTTACACCCTAAAGTCAATCTGTTTTCCAAAAATCAGCTTTTTACGTCAAGCACTTTAAGCAGGATGGTGATTAATCAATGACCAGATTTTTCGAAACACCCTGTATACATATTTAAAAAATCTTATAATATGTGAAATAAACAAAATAAAATATACGTGTTTAAGCGTTTTTTTCGGAAACTTGACCTTTTTTTTATATAAAAATATATTTGAGGGGTGGTTTCACCCTCTTGGAACTGGAATTTCGAAAAATCCCTTCTTATCGAACCTCTACACCCTAGAATCAACCTGTATGCCAAAATTGAGCTTCTTACGTTGAGTGGTTTGAGCAGGATCGTGATTAATCAGTATGTCAGTCACTTAAGGATTTTATATCTATATATATAAATCTGACTGTCCTGACTGATACTGACTCATCAACGCCCAGACCAAACCCTTGACCCTAGAAAGCTGAAATTTTGCACAGAGGTTCCTTTTATGATGTTTACGTAAGATAAGAAAGGATTTTTTTAAATTCATCCCCTAAGGGGGTAAAAAGGTGGGTGGAATATTACAATATTTTTTATTTAAAAACGGTCAAGTTTCGAAAAACGCTTAAACACGTATATTTTATTTTCTTTTTACATATTTTAAGATTTTTAAAAATATTTACAGGGTGTTTCGAAAAATCTGGTCATTGATTAATCACGATCCTGCTTAAAATACTTGACGTAAAAAGATGATTCTTGGAAAACGGATTGACTTTAGGGTGTAGAGGTTCGATAAGAAGGGATTTTCCGAAACTCGAATTCTAAGGGGGTGAAACCACCCCTCAAATATTAGAATATTTTTTATTTAAAAAACGGTCAAGTTTCCGAAAAAACGCTTAAACACGTATATTTTATTTTGTTGTTTTACATATTTTAAGATTTTTTAAAAATTTACACAGGGTGTTTCATAAAATATGGCCATTGAGTAATCACGATTCTGCTTAAACTGCTTGACGTTTAGAGCTGATTTTTGGCAAACGGATTGACTGTGGGGTGTAGAGGTTCGATAAGGAGGGGTTTCTCGAATCTCAAATTCCAAGAGGGTGAAAAAAATCTATACTATATATAAAGCCCCTCAAATAATCTATACTAATATATAAAATTCTTAAGTGACTCACTGATTAATCACGATCCTGCTCAAACCACTCAACGTAAGAAGCTCAATTTTG